TACTGGGTTACATGAACAGGAATGCAGCATGCATGTTATGCAAAGCAACTCTTCCACTCTGTTCAGCACTGTTGAGAGCCCACCTGGAGTACCATGTCCAGACTGGAGCACCATGCTTCAAAAAAGAAGCGTACAAATTGGAGAGACCAGCAAAAAGCAACAAAAAAAAGTGATCAGAGTCTAGAAGACATGACATAAAAGGAAAGGTTGGAAGAACTGGGAAGTCTAACTTTTTTTCCTAATTAACACAAAAAAACAAACACAAAAATAAACCGATGGCAACTGAATCTACCATGTCCACAATGGACAGGAGGAGTAATGGTCTTAAAATGCAGCAAGGGAAATTTAGATAGAAAGTTCTTCATAATATCCAAACTATGAGACTGGTTAAACACTGGAACAGAATATATAGACAGGTTGTATGATCCCCATCAGTAGAAGTTTAAATTGAGGTTAGACAGCCATTTGTCTGGGATAGTTTAGACACAGATGATCTTGCTTCAAGCAGGGGGTTGGACTAGACCTCCCGAGATCCCCTTTGGCCTGTTTTTGCTGCAATTCCGTGAATTATCTTGCACACTGAAGTGCATGAACACTTTAGCTGCACTATACACGATTCAGTTCAACGCACTGTTAACGCACACAGCCAGCTTTTACCATAGTTTGTGCAACATTGGCAAGTTCAATGGCTAAATGAAAAATTGCCTCCTTGATATTTTCCGTAAACGAGATTTGCTGGGTTAAGATGATAGAAGGCCTTAGAAGGAACCATTTAGCAAAGAAACAGGATATCTGAAGTACTACCTTTGCAGGTTTAGGACACCGTTCTTTTAAAACAAGGGAAGAGTAAGCCCAACCTATTGCTGTTCACTAGTTATCTGTATGGCAAGCTTGTCATAGCTGTTAATTGCTCAGCTTTCTACAAACAGCCACCTTTAAGACTAATAAAGTTAGAGTGTTCAGTCTTCACTCCATCCAGACTCCCACCAGAGTCAGTGGGAGATCGGTGTATGAACTTGAGCCTTAAAATGATTCTGTGCCAAACCCCATATTAAGACAACCCAACCCCCCACACACCAGAGCACATGATATATATGCCATTTGATGGACTTACCTGTAAATTTCAGTTCTGGATGGAGTTCATCTTCAAACTGTTTCCCATAGATGGAGGCACCCCCTCTACCTATGCAGCCGAAAGAAAAGCAGACAGGATATATGCAAGTCCACAGTATTTTCAAGGGTATCATCCATTGCACAGCTGCTAGCAAACAGTTGAGAAAAAGCAATGTTTTCCCAATGATAAATTGCTAGAGGTCTGCTGGTAGTGTGCAGTGCTCAGAAACAGGGACATGAAAAATACAGCTTTAGCTGGCAGCAAGGGCGAAGGGCCTGCCTGGGAATCCCCCCACAGCAACAAAGGCTATTTGGGGGTGGGGGCTGTGCACCGATCAGATCCTGCCACCTGTTTGCGGAGAGACTCCTTGCCCTTGCCTTGGTATAAGCAGCCATAGCAGGGGCTGACAGGTCACAGATCCTCCTGCCCACCCCATCAACCCCTGCTTCTATTTGTAGGGCTTCCCCTCACTCTTGCCACCTAGGCGAGGCAGTTCACATACTTCCTGGGTGCAGGGCTCAATTCAGCTTGCCGTCCCCTGGCTCTGCAGGGATTGGGGCCGTTCCAGGCTAGGGGCAGATCTGCTCATTGTCCCGTCTCCACTCCAGCCCTGCCTCTGTTGCTGTCCAGTGGCAATGGGGACGGGGCTGTGTAAAAGCTGCCCCAGGTGCAAGGGGCCGAGGAGGGAGTTTCTACCTCCTGGTCATCCCCTGCTGCTAGTGCAGCCCTGTCCCCAGGCCCTCTGCTACCAGCCCCTGGAACTTCAAAACCCTGCTCAGTTAGTGGGAGTGGGTGGGGAACAACACATCCCGAGGGCTACAGAGCCAGCAACCCTCCTCCCTCCCTCCCTTCAAGGGAGATGGGAGCAGGGCACTGTGACACCGTGTTGGCAAAGACCTGGCACAATCATCACAAGGTCTGGCATAGACTTTTTCAGGATTAGCCCCTCTGATCATGTGCGGTGCAAACTATGCAACAGGTTTTTTTAAGTGTGCTTTGGAGCTGCCAAGTGAACCACAAGGGCCACTTGGCAGTGTTGCAGGTGGAGTTTAGAGAGTCCATTCTCTGAATAGAGCCTTTTTTTTTTTTATATTACATATAATTTTATTTGCAAAAAAAATAAATAAATAAATAAAGGCTCCGTTCAGAGAACAGACTCTTTTTGTTCGAGCATTCGCGAATTGGGGGCCCCTGCCTGTACCATTGAGTCTGGTCGCAACAGGGGGACAGGGCTCCCTGCCCACTGCCAGGAGCAGCATCCTGCGGTGACTTCGGAGCAAACCCGCTCGTCTGAGGGCGGATCAGTCCTTTTACCCCACGAGGAGCAGGCTGCAGCACCAGTGGCAGACGCTCCCCGCACACGTCCCGCCCCGGGCCTCACCCGTGCCCGTGGGGTCGCCGCCCTGGATCATGAAGTCCTTGATGATGCGGTGGAACTTGGTGCCGTTGTAGTAGCCCCGGCGCGCCAGCTCCGCGAAGTTCTTGCAGGTCTTGGGCGCGTGCTTCCAGTACAGCTCCAGCACCAGCGAGCCCATGCTGCGGGGAGACGGGGCGGCCGCTAGCACCTCGCCCCGGGGGC